CAGCCACTCACCCAGGCTGGCCAGGCACCCCAGTGGGGACCCCCAACCTGAAGGGGCTGTGGCCAGCCTGCAAACAGCAATCAGCCCCTCACCCAGGCTGGCCACACCCTTAAGGGGTGAGGGTCCCTGCTGAGGGGCCTGACCAGCCTGCAAACAGCCCTCAGCCACTCACCCAGGCTGGCCAGGCACACCAGCAGGACCCCCCCTCCCTGAAGGGGGTGTGGCTAACCTGAAAACGGCCCTCAGCCCCTCTCACCCAGGCTGGCCAGGCACTCTAGCGGGGACCCCCACCCTGATGGGGGTGTGGCCAGTCTGAAAACGGCCCTCAGCCCCTCACCCAGGCTGGCCAGGTACCCCAGCGGGACCCCCACCCTGATCTGGGACACCCTTCAGGGCAAACCAGCCAGCCCCCACCCATGCACCAGGCATATAATAAAAGGGTAATATGCAAATTGACCCTAACAGCAGAATGACTTGGAATGACTGGTCACTATGACACACAATGACCACCAGGGGGCAGACGCTCACTGCAGGAGCTGCCCCCTGGTGGTCAGTGCACTCCCACAGGGGGAGCTCTGCTCAGCCACAAGCCAGGCTGACGGCTGCCAGCACAGCGGTGGTGGCGGGAGCCTCTCCCGCCTCCTCATCAGTGCTAAGGATGTCCGACTGCAGCTTAGGCCTGCTCCCCACTGGCAAGTGGACATCCCCCGAGGGCTCCTGGTCTGCCAGAGGGATGTCTGACTGCCAGCTTAGGCCCATCCCCCGGGAAGTGGGCCTAAGCCAGCAGGTGGACATCCCCTGAGGGGTCCCAGACTGCGAGAGGGCACAGGCCGAGCTGATGGACACCCCCACGTGCACAAATTTTTGTGCACCAGGCCTCTAGTCCTATACAATAAAGAGGTAATATGCAAATTGACCATCACCCCAACACACAAGATGACCGCCCCCATGTGGACACAAGATGGCCGCCACAAGATGGCCGGCAGGGGAGGGCAGTTGGGGGGACCAGGCTGGCAAGGGAGGGAAGTTAGGGGTGACCAGGCCTGCAAGGGGGGGGCAGTTGGGGGTGACCAGGCCGGCAGGGGAGGGCATTTAGGGGCAACCAGGCTGGCAAGGGAGGGCAGTTAGGGGTGACCGGGCCTGCAAGGGGGGGCAGTTGGGGGTGACCAGGCCGGCAGGGGAGGGCAGTTAGGGGCAATTGGGTTGGCAGGGGAGGGCAGTTGTGCGCAATCAGGCCAGCAGGGGAGGGCAGTTCAGGGGGACCAGGCCTGCAGGGCAGGGCAGTTGGGGGGACTAGGCCTGCAGGGAAGGGCAGTTAGGGGCGACCAGGCTGGCAAGGGAGGGAAGTTAGGGGTGACCGGGCCTGCCAAGGGGGGGGGACAGTTGGGGGTGACCAGGCCTCCAGGGGAGGACAGTTAGGGGCAACCAGGCCAGCAGGGGAGGGCAGTTAGGGGCAATCGGGCTGGCAGGGGAGGGCAGTTGGGGGTGACCAGACTGGCAAGGGAGGGCAGTTAAGGGTGACCAGGCTAGCAGGGGAGGGCAGTTGGGGGTGACCGGGCCTGCAGGGTAGGACAGTTATGGGCAACCAGGCCAGCAGGGGAGGGCAGTTAGGGGCCATCGGGCCGGCAGGGGAGCAGTTAGGCATCCATCAGGCTGGCAGGGGAGTGGTTAGGGGGTGATCAGGCTGGCAGGCAGAAGCGGTTAAGGGCAATCAGGCAGGCAGACAGGCGAGCAGTTGGGAGCCAGCAGTCCTGGATTGTGAGAGGATCCCAGATTGGAGAGGGTGCAGGCTGGGCTGAGGGACACGCCCCCCTCCGCCCTGCCCCTCATGCACAAATTTCGTGCTCCAGGCCTCTAGTTAAGTAATAATGGATTATAATGTAACCATTATCCTGACTTCTATATTAATCACTTCTCTGCATTTAAAAATAATTTTATTTACCCAGGTGTGCATTCCTAAATACTTTAATTTTGCCTGTGGTTTTTTTGTCTCTTATGTTTCTTAACAATAGGTTTCTTCCTATCCATCCTTCTTCTCCCATTCGAATGTATTTGTTGAAGAACATGGGTCTGAGAATTTCTGACAGTTTGGATTTTGTGGGTTGTATCCTCACAATACAGTACAATATACTCCTCTGACCTCTATTATACTTCCTGCAAATCGAAAGGTGGATCCTGAGGTCTGTTCAGATTTGGGTGGTTTAATTTTGAAAGACCATGGTAGTATTGTTCTTTCATCCAGAGGCTCATGTCTAATTGCCTTTCCTTTTGTAATGTTAAGTTGTTGTTGATGTTCAGTATTTAGATGTATTAATTCATTAAGGGCTGCTAAGTCATTATATTAAAATTCTATAATTTTTTAAAATGTCTGTTTTACCGACATTTTTGAATGATTATTTTCCCTATATATAGAATTCAGGTCAGCTGGCTTTCATTCTTTAAGCACTTTATTACTGAGTTTCTTGAATCTAAGAATTGGTATATTTCATTTGTTTTGAAAAATTCTTTTAGCTATTATATCTTCATACATTGTTTCTGCTCGTTTTCTTTATCCTTCTGGAACATCAACTTCATATATATCAGATCATCTGTGTTCCACTTGTTTCTAATGCTCTCTGTTCTGCTCTTTCCATTCTCTTTTCTCATTGTCCTATGGTTTGGTTATCTTTTTTTGGGGGGGGGGGGGTAGGAGCAGTTATCTTTTATTGATCTGTCTTCTATTCACCAAACCTGTCCTCTGGAGGTTAAACCCATCCAATAAATTCTTAATTTTAGACATTTCAGTTTTAGAATATCTATACGATTATTTTCCTAAATAGATTCCAATTTTGTTGAAGTTCTCCATTTTCTCATCCATTTTGTCCATCTTTTCTCCTATTTTCTTTATCATGCCTATAATATAAAGTCACTGTCAGTTAATTTAAATATCTGCATAAAATTGTGGGTTGGCTTATATTTTTTTTCCTCTCTTGATTAGTAGCCACATTTTCTTGCCTCATAATATTTTACTGTTTACTGAACATTGAGTATAAAAGAACCATAAGACTGTTATGGTGCCCTGGCCAGTGTGGCTCAGTTGGTTGGAGTATCATCCTACCTGTGCATCAGAAGGTTGCCGGTACGTGGAATCTGAAGTCTAACATGTTCTTTTTTAAATAAAAATATTACATCATTCCTTTTTCTTCCTTTAAATAATATTTACACTTTATCCCCTAAAGTTTCAACCTAATTTATTTTTATGAAAACTCTATCATAGTTTTACCAACAAAAATACAAATTAAAATATTTCTTTATTTACTGTGACTATAACGTTCTAAGTGTTAAAATTTTTGTCTTGGATTCAAGTTACCATTACAATTATTACTGGAACACAAGTGATCAAAACAAATATGCTTTTAAAGGATTCCTTTAAACCAGCTGTGCCTATACAATCCTTGGAAAGTCCAGGTACCCATTTTTCCAGTTTTAATATTGGAATCCTAAATCCGCTATCAGGTTTCCACCAACCCAGAGATTACATAATCATCTACTCACAAAGTTAGCTCAACAGTGGGCCATATCCTAAGTCAGAAGAGAAATCAACAGGGAGAGGAAAATATTGCAATACTAGAAGCCCAGCATGTGAAATCGCGCAACCCACCCACCTGCGCTGGTCTTTGGTCATTACGGCGTTAGGGCCACAGGCCTTTTATAATATAGACTATTGCTAATTCTTTCCCCTTTCTCTGTTTATACAAACATGAAAAGATTCCAGAGAACATCCTGGGGAAAGAGGATTATCCACTTTCTATTCTGACATATTGATTTAATAATTAAAAGTTTTCAAGATCTAATAAAAGATACAATTAAGCCCAAAGCGTATTCATCAGCTAATCAATTTAGAACATATGGGGCCAGGAACACTGTTTTTGGTTCAGATAGATGCTGCTGTCCCTTCTGGTTCTGTTTCAAAGGTAAGCTGCTTTACTCATGCTTTCCAAATTCCAGAAGGGGAAATAGGCCTTTTGCAATATGTTTAGTAACTAGACCACAGCAACAAGAGTTATACCAAAGGTGGTCCTCAACAAGTTTTGAAAGGCAAATGTTTGTTAATTCAGCAACAGGCAAGCCAATAACTTCCTTAAATTAAGCACTAGATACACTGTGCAATATACACTGGGCATAGTCCTCTATAATTTTCCTAATGGCCATTTTCCAGTTTGATGCCATGTATAACCCAGAACGGATGGCTACATTAAGCTGTCCTGAGAATAAAAAAATATATAAACTTTCTACCAGTAGGAAAAACCAGTGTAACAGGTAACTGCGCATGTAAGGTCACTATTATCAAGAATGAAGAATGATTCATGCTATTTGAAACCTCATCTGGCCTAGATCCCAATTTATGGAAAGCTGCAGTTTGTTGTTTTTTTTCAGAATACATCTAGAACAAATGCAGAAATATTCCTCCTAATTTCTTTGATGTCTGGCATCAGCCAAACCCCAGGGAATGTACTTGTCAGTCAACAAAGAAAATTTCACTTTAGTTAACATCACCAGGGAAGCCAAAGGAAAAAAAAGAGGCCTTAACAACTATTTGTAGAGTAATAAGCACAAACATGCAGATGGATAATAAAGGAAAAGCATGTAAAAACAAGGTAAAAATATTCTATCATGCTTTGTGAAATAGGAGAGAGACAAGGACATAAAGGAGGTCTATGAGGTCTAAAGAAAAGTTCTTAGGAGGAAAAAGATTTGAGCATCATTATATCAGATATGTATGAAGGTTATAGTTAAATCTGGCTTCTAATTTTTATTTTATAATTTCCTTTGGTCACTTTTCTGATAAACTTTTATTATGTTAAAAGAGAAATACCAAAAAAAAAAAAAAAAAAGAGAGAGAGAGAGAGAGAGAGAGAAATACCTCCTCTATAGCTACAGATCTGTCCTTTCAGGGCACAGCATGCCAAAAGTCAGTAGAACCAACATCAGCAGCAGGTTTATACTAGGGACATACTCACCTGCTTCTGGATCTGCAGGAATTCTCCACATGTATAGGTTGAAGTCATCAGAGCCTGAAAGGATATACTGTTGAAACAAAAAAAGTATTTATATATATATCAATTGACTGATAATCTATAATAATAAAAGTGTAATATGATAATTAGACCAGACGTCCTTCTGGATGAAGTGGTGATGGGTGGGGGCCGAGGCAGAAGCCCACAGCGGCTGCAGCGGGCAGGGGCCGTGGTGGTGGGAGCCAAACCCCTTGCACGAATTTCATGCATCAGGCCTCTAGTATATATCTATATTTATCTTCCTAAATACAGAAAGATTCTTTGAAAAAACACACAAAACAAATGAAGATATATTCAAAAGATGTCACACAGCAAACACCCTCTTAAAAGTATTTGCAAATCAAAAGGCTCTTTGGCTAAAACTCAGCAACAACCAACCAACCTGATTCAAAATGGGCAACGGTCTTGACCAGACATTTCTACAATGAAAAATATACAAATGGACAATAAACACATGATCACTAATCATTAGGGAAATAAATATCAATACCACAAGGAGATACCGCTTCACACACATTAGGATGGCTATTACCAAAAAATAAACAACAGAAAACAAATGTTGGCGAGGATGTAGAGAAATTGGAACCCTTGTGCACTGCTGGTGGAAACATATAATGGTGCACCTACTGTGGAACATAGTATGGCAGTTCCTCAAAACGTTAAACATGTAACTATCATATGACTCAGCAATTTCACTCCTAGGTGTGTGTGTGTGTGTGTGTGTGTGTGTGTGTGTGTGTGTGTGTGTGTGTGTAAATGAAAGCAGAGACTTGAGATATCTGTACACCAATGTTCACAGAAGAATGCTTACAATAGCCAAAAAGCGGAAACAACCCAAATGTCCATCAACGGATGAATGGATAGATAAAAATGTGATATATACATACAATGGTATATTATTCAACCTCAAAAAAGGAGAGAAATTCTGACACATACTACAACATGGATGAATCTTGAAGACATGCTAAAGAAGCCACACAGAAAAGCAAATATTGTATGATTCAACTTATACGAGGTACCTAGTTAAATTCAGAGACAGAAAGAATGGTAGTTGCCAAGGGAGGAATGGGAAGCTATGTTTAATGGGTATGGACTTCAAGTTTGGAAAGAAGAAAAAATACTGAGATGGATAGTGTACAGTTCTGTGGCATTAAGTGCATTTACATGTTATGTAAATGGTTATAATGGTAAGTCTTATGTTATGTATATTTAAACTGGTTATAATGGTAAGTCTTAAATGGTTATAATGGTAAGTCTTATGTTATGTATATTTTACCACAATTTTAAAAATGTTTAAATGCAGAAAAAAATTTAGAAGCTTTTATGCAAGGCCAACCATCCTGAACTTCCCTGTTGTCAGCTGACATCTTTCAGCAGGAAGTCATTGCCAACCCAGCCACAAGTTAGTGCCAGGGGCATACACAATCCCCTTTTATGTGGCAGCTTCAAACAGTTTAATCTCAAAAATGGTGGGTCCACTGCAGAATAATATACACTTGCTAGATGTATTCTAATTAGGACTCAGAAAAGCACTAACAGCAACCAATGAGCAATTCTGGGAGCTTATTTATTTTCAAAGATTAACAAAAGAGTTCTACTTTAAGTTGAGGTCAGCATTACTAACTGCCTCTTGGCCTCATCTCCTTATTTCCCTAGGGAGAAAAAGGCCTATAGTTTTATAAAGAAAATTTCTTAAAAATAACACTGAACAATTAAAAAAAGTCTAAGTCCAATATATATACACTTCATGCCTAATGCAAATACTTTACTCAACACTTGAAAAATCAATTTACCAGTTTTCAAAATATTTGTAGGAACATGAGAAAGGAGACAAAGAAAGGCATGTTTAAAGATGACGAAAATGCTATCCACAGAGCACAGAGCACAGTGGGAAAAGAAATGGGTTCAGTTTCCTTGTATGGTCACTTTGTTCTATGGTCTGAATGTATCCCCCTCCAAATTCACATGATGAAATCTTAATACACAATATAATGGTATCAGGTGAGACCTTTTAGATGTGATTAGGTCATGATTAGCGCTCTTATAAAGGAGACCCAACATAGCTTCCTAGCCCCTTCTACCATGTGAGGATTCTGGGAGAAGTCAGCAGTCTGCAACCTGGGAGAGGACCTTCACCAGAACCCAACAAAGCTGGCATTCTGATCCTGGACTTTCAGCCTCCAGAACCGTGATAAAGAAATTACTATTGTTTATAATCCACCCAGTCTGTGGTATTTTGTTATAGTAGCCAGAACAAACTAAGATCTCTGAGGCTCAATTTAATTTTAAGATTCTATGATTACTCTGTGAAAGAATGATAGAAGACAGATCAGAGCTGAAAGTCCCTAAGCTGCCAGTCCATGGTTACTTGACAAATCACTACATAAATATGCTCAAGGCAAGAAAACTCAAAGACCAACCCTGTTATACTTCAATTAAAAAGTTTCCATGGGGGGATGGGGACACATTTGTAATACCTTAACCAATAAAGAAAAAAAAAAAAAAAGTTTCCTTAACAACAAAAAAACAAACGATTTGATTTTAAAAATGGGCAAAGGACTTGAATAGACATTTAAAAAGAAATATATAATGGCCATTTACAAATGGGCAATAAGCACATGAAAAGATGCTCAACATCACCAATCATTAGGGAAATGCATATTAAAACCACAATGAGGTACCAACTCACACTCATTAGGATGACTACTATCAAAAACAAATAAACAGCCAAAACCGGTTTGGCTCAGTGGATATAGTGTCGGCCTGTGGACTGAAGGGTCCCAGGTTCGATTCCGGTCAAGGGCATGTACCTGGGTTGCGGGCACATCCCCAGTGGGAGATGTGCAGGAGGCAGCTGATCGATGTTTCTCTCTCATCGATGTTTCTGACTCTCTATCTCTCTCCCTTCCTCTCTGTAAAAGATCAATAAAAATATATTATAAAAAAAAAACACCAAATAAACAAACAAAACAAAACAGTTCCTCAAATAATTAAAAATGAAATTACCATCGATCCATTAATTTCACTTCTGGGTATATATCTGAAAGAATTGAATGAAGGATCTCTAAGAGATAGTTTTACACCTATGTTCATAGTAGCATTATGCACAATAGCCAAAGGTGGAAGCAACGCAAGTGCCCAACAGATGAATGGATAAACAAAATGTGGTCTACACATAAAATGGAATATTTTTCAGCCTTAAAAGGGAAGGAAATTCTGCCACATGCTACAACATGGATGAACCTTAAACATTATGCTAAGTGAAATAAAAGTCATAAAAAGACAAATACTGTATGAGTCCACTTATGAGGTTCCTAGAGTAGTCAGTCAAATCCATAGAGGCAGATAGTAGAATGGTGGTTGCCAAGGGCTAGGGGTGGGGGGAGGGGAGTTGGTGTTTATGAGTACAGAGTTTCAGTTTTGCAAGATGAAAAACATCTGGAGATGGATGGCAGTGATCGTCATCCCAACAATGTAAATGTACTTAATACTACAAAACTGAATACTTAAGAAATATTTCCTCATTGCTCTGACTTCAGGGTCCATCCAGTAGCTCCCTGCAGTTTATGACACTATACTAGTTGAAGTTAGAAAGTTGGAATTCAGAAGCTCAAGGGCGTTCCTCTCATAGCAAAACCACCTACTAGTTGGGAGGAAAGATTCGTTCTAACTAACCAAGCACTTATATATCTTTGGTGCTTACAAAGATATAAAAGGTAATACCTGGGTTCCCAAGGAGCTTAAATCAAGTAGAAAATTTACATGTAGGCACATAAGTACCATGCCATGAAGTAGAAATCACTAGAGAAAACATGTGCCTGGTGATTCACAAAAGAGGCAAGGCAAGATAGATGAGCACTGAGCCAGTTCAGGTAAAGATGTGGGTAAAAGAGAGAACAGAAGGAACAAAGATAAAGGAATGGTGCCCAGGTAGATTACTGTTTTAACAGGAACAGAAAGTATGGCATAGGTCACTCCTTGATGCTTATCTCTCTCAGGCCTTACTGCTCTGTATACTCCACTGGATCTCCAACTGGCAGTATCCACATCCCTTTACCAAGGTTTCTCCAAAGCCTAGGAGGCTGCAGCCAGACTGCTCTAGGGAATGAACATTCCTTGGGAGCATGCTCAACCAATGACTGAATATCCAACCAATATCCCAACTGCCTTATCCTCAGGTGGAATAACTCTGAAGTGCATTTTCTATACCCTTTCCCCTCAAGATCAACTCCAATTGCCCGCAGTTGTAGTTGGTTCACTAAATCACCCTTTCTTTCCCTATCTCACTTCTCCTTTCTTCTACTATTTCCTGCATTTTCAAATAAACTACTTGCACCTGAAACTTTAACCCAAATTAAGACACACAGGCAGGGCGCGGGGAAAACAGAACACAAAAGAACTGTCCACTGCCATAACCGATTTGGCTTCAGTGGATAGAGCATCGGCCTGCGGACTGAAAGGTCTCAGGTTCGATTCCGGTCAAGGGCATGTACCTTGGTTGCGGGCACATCTCCAGTAGGGGGTGTGCAGGAGGCAGCTGATCAGATGTTTCTCTCTCATCGATGTTTCTAACTCTCTATCCCTCTCCCTTCCTCTCTGTAAAAAATCAATAAAATATATATATATATATATACACATACATATACATATACATATATATATATATATATATATATATATATATATATATATATATATATATATAAAAGAACTGTCCACTAATAATTTATATACAGGCTGGGGCAAAAGTAGGTTTACAGTTCATATGGCAAGTAATACAATAATTAATAAATACAAGAATAAACTCTGTGGCTTGGCCAGTGTGGCTCAGTGGTTGAACATAGACCTATGAACCAGAAAGTCATAGCTCGATTCCTGGTCAGGGCATATGCCTGGGTTTCAGGCTCAATCCCCACTATGGGGCATGCAGGAGGCAGCCAATCAATAATTCTCTTATTACTGATGTTTCTATCTCTCACCCTCTCCGAAATTAATAAAAACATATTTAAA